GCAGCTTTCTGGTGATCTTTTTATTTGTGGGAAAATTAAATTTTTCTCTAACCAGTATTCTCCAGATTAGATACGCACCTTTTTATCGACATAACTCAGTGTTTATACAGAAGATGAGCATGCCTGGAAATCAAAATGTACACCAAAGACTGAATTTGGAAATGCTGTCACTGGTGCTAAGGAAGCTGTGGGGGGGGGGTGTAACGTTCCCAGGGTGTCCTGGGGAAAGGGGTCCAGTCCCCAGCACTCCCCCGAGCCCCTGGCACCAGTCAACCGTAACTTTTTGGCACTGGAACTGGGTTTTGACAGCATGGGAGAAGGGCAAACAACTTGTTTTCATTTGTTATTTTTATAAATTATATTCTATACTTTTATATCATTATATTGCTCTCTGCAAAGCTGCTCAAAGCAGAGGGAGAGTGTTTTTCAGTCAATCATCTGCTGTTATAAATTGAAGGGAACTTTGTGAAGTGTCTAAAGGCAGAAATCCAATGCTCTGGGAAAAAAAACCTCAGGCGCACATAAAGGATGTGTAACAGAGACCTTAAAGCCATTTCAGGCCAAGGTGTTTCGAGTTTTGTCTTTGTGGTGAGAAAAACAATTGCATGTCAAGCTAAATGAAGAAGTGCTGGAGCTGGAAGTTACGGCTGTGCTGACGTGGTTGTTGGGACTCACTGGCTGAGAGAAGTGATGTGCACAGCAGGCTGTCAGACAGCAAATAGAAAAACGGCAAAAAAAAAACCCCAACCTCAAATGACATTAGCTCCGAGCAAAATATGCTTCATCAGCTTGGCAACTTTCATTACCTATGGGTAATGATCTCTCTTCAGTCACAGGGAGACAGAGGACAAATTAAAAAAAAAAAAAAAATCTACTGAGCATGTTATACATTTCAGACTTTCAGTGCAATATGTAATTTAGACAGAATCCAGCTCAGGAAAATCCCTTGAATAGCTAATATTCGCACACTGGCTCTCTGCTACCTCTCCTTCCTCTGCCCAGCCTCTCGGAGCCCGTAACTCTTAACAGGTTACGACAGCTTCAGCATCTTCCCGGTCAAAAAAGTGCATGTTTCTTTTTACATGCCAAAATATGCGACAGAAATGGATATTCTAAATGTACCAATGTAGCAAGAGGGAATGTTGCTGAGGACAGGACGCTTTCTGAGTATTTACTTGTGTTCATCGTGGGACGATGCTGGGTCTGCGTGGCTGGATCTGGGATGTCAGGGACTGCCCATGAGAAAGTCCTGTGGTGAAAAGAAGTGACTTTGTGAGTTAGTTTTGCAAAATTCCAGAGTTGCTTGTGCTGGGACAGCTTTTTTCCCTGGCTCTTTCCCCAGGCGTGGAGCTGTCATTTTGAGGGGGGATGCTTTAAAATTGAGGGACCCTTACACAAAACCCAGGAATATTTTCCCATGGTGCAATTACCCCTCAGGTTAAATTCTACAAGCGGCAGGAGATTCTTTTTAATCTCAGTCCTTAGAAAGGACCATTGATCATTTGGTTTGACCTTTTCTTCATCACAGGCCATTGAGCCTCACCTGGGTGCCTCAGTATTAAGTCAACAGACATTAGTTAGACCAAAATGTTCCAGTCCTTGAGAAACCCACTGTGCCACAGGGGTTTGAGGTGCCTGTAGAGGCAGGGAAGTGGTGAAATAAGATATTTGATCTTGCCTTTTCAGGGTCTCCCAGGTTTCACTTCCTCCATGCAATCAGAGATTTCATCTGTTTTCATAGCCCTGATGTGTTTTCTCAGTTTTTGGTGAGGTTGCTCGCTAGATAGTGAAGCTGGCTGCTTTGGTCTTTAGGTCTTTTCCTGCCATGGCAACAAGAGGGGCTAGGGGAGCTGCTGGCGTGGCACGGGGAAAATCAGGGAGAGAGTAAGTGAGCAAGTGCAGCTCTCGCTTGTGGTTAGGGTGGGGAAATTGAAATAGGCTGCGGGAAGTGGGATGCAAATTAAGACTGCTGGTGAAAAGACTTCTGAGGTGAATGGAGGTGCATGGAGAAGCAAACTCGCCTCAGAAAATACTCCAGCGCAAGATGGGTTAAATTCGGGGAATTCCAAATCGGAAAAAAAAAAAAAAAAAAAAAGATTTGGGGAGAAACTTAAGGAAAGGTGGAGAGGAAAGTGGGTGTAAATGAGAGTACGGAGGAATTGTTAGAAAGTCAGCATGGGTTCATGTTAAAAACCACAAACCCATGTAGGTGTGAAAAGCCAGATGCTGTGTCGGCCTCCCGCCAGCCGTCCCCATCTCAGGGACGTGCTCCCGGGGCGGGTGCTGCCAGTACCTTTCTCTTCATTATTGATTCATTAATAAATACGGGAGCGGGGCTTTGCTGCTGCTTTGCCTGCAAGTCAAAGCAGGCTCGCTCTAAATCCAAGCCCTGCAAGCTCAGTCTGGCCTTGGGAATTCAAACTTTGTTCTGCTTCCTACTTGCCAGCGATCAGATCCCCGGCCGAGAAGTTGGTGGGTGACTGTGCTGGTTGACGAGGCAGACGAGGGGACATCTCACCCAGCTGCAACATCCCAGGCTCTGTCCCAATCCCCCCCCCCCCCCCCCCCCCCAAAACCCAGGATCCTGCCGGGAGACGGAGCACAGTTTTTTAACCAAGTTTCCAGGTTTTGAGCCATCCCGCCGATGCTCGCTCTGCCGCCGCGTCATCCTTCAGTTTCCTACATTCGTGTTGCCGGCCTGCGGTTCGCTCGGCAATTTCTAGTCCCGCTTGGAGGCAGTGAAAGCCATCAGCCCCCGGGAGCAAAGCGGAGTCGGCCAACAGGTTTATACAAAGCGTCCAGTCTCAACCCGAACTCGATGGTACGTGCGGTCTCCAAATCACCGCTTTTGCTTTCAGCAGTAAGAGCGCCCGGGCCAACCTCTTCACGTGCTGGAATGTCTGATCTTCCCTATTTTGTTAGAGATACCCGCTTTAGCTTTTACTAATGATGCTATTAAAAAAAAACTGGCTGTCTACCAATATAAATGCTCCGGTAAGAAGCGCAGATTCACAATGCAAACCCCAAGAGTAAGTTTTGGACAGAGTTTTCAGCTTATGTTTCGGGAGCTCTGCTGTGGTGGGTTGGTTGCTCAGCCACCTCCAGGAAACCTCCTCCTTCCCAGCCCACCCGTGGCATCGTTTGGGTTTAGTGTGTGCGTCCGTGGGGAAGAAATGAGCTGCCATCCTGAGTGGGACACGCAGCCAGCCCGGGGATGTGGGGGGGGGACCGTGGGCCTCCGCAGCAGGAGCTCCCGCCCAGCTCCAGCGTGCCACCGTCTGTGGAGGCAGCGGGAGGCGTGGACGAGAGAAGAGAAACGGGACTATTTGAACAAAATGAAATAAATCCCTTGGTGCTTATGGGGATGGCAGACGGATGCGGCCACGTTCCCAGCGCGGCGGGGACGGCTCGGGCTCCGGCAGCCAGCCGGTGCCTTCCTGAACTCGACATCGGCACAGCTGGGCACAGCTGGCGCTGCTCGGCCTCTCCGTCGGCGGGGCTGGGACTGCAAACTGGAGACGAACCAAATGTCGTAGCGTCGCTGACATGAGGGAGGTCTGTGCTTCTGTATAACCAAAATGGGCAGCGAATGTTTTGCTCTCTGTCATGGAGCTCTTCTGCCTTCCTCGGCATCGCCTTCTGTGTCACTAATGAATTCTTATTTGTTTGTTACTGTTTGATTTCCTTCCCACAGAGGGCTGATTTATTAATAGGAAGAAAACAAGCAATAAAGAATCCCTCCAGTTATTTAGCTTAGCTTGACTTCTTACTCTTCTTTGTCAGCTAAATTAAAAGCAATCCACATCTACAGGAACCTTACTACTAATTTGGAGCGCTGTAATTATTAGGAGCTATATTTGCCAAGGCACTGTCTGAACTTGTAACCAGATTTTAAACGAGTGCATTATCAGGGTAGGGAATAAAAGCAGCTGAATTCAGTTACGCAGTTTAACCCACACCGCGTGGAGCCTCCTTTCCCTTTTCATGCCAAGAAAGTGTTTATTTACAAATTTTTCATGAGTTGACATTCACTTTGCATACACGACTGCAAAATATCTAAACACAGCAGACTGCACATCCCTGAGACGTGCTGGAGCCAGGGTTCAGCATGAAACACCAAAATTAACCATGTTCACTACCAGTATTTAAAGCCACCGATTTTTGCATTTTCCACAAATTCAGATGTAAACGCTTTCTTAGTGATTGTGGTTGCTTACGCCTTACGGAGCCTTTTGACCTATGAAAAATTTGCAACTAGCAATATTTCTGGCTTATTATTTTCACTATGGACTTGTTTATTTTCCTTCAATTAGCTGAAAATGCATAAATGTTGGGACAAGTTTAGTCTCTGTGTGCTGACACTTTTGCCACATGCTTGAAAACATCTGAAGTATCTCTATAAAATGTATTTTAGCTTCCTGGCAATACTAGAAAAAAAGCCTAAACAAATCTGTTTACGTGCCTAAAGAGCATTATAAACCCCTGTGAATCCACTTTGATACATAACAGGAATTTGAGTTGCCACTGTATTTCTGTGCTGGGTTTAATAAAATTCACAGCAAATAGTTGATGGAATGAGCCATCTGAAGTTTGTGCTAGCAACTTGGCTGAGATATATGTGTGTGTGTGTCTGTGTGTATATATATACATACCTACCACCATGCTATTTAATTTGTGATCCAGCATTGTTCCTAGATGAGCCTTGTAAAACGAGCTGAGCTGCAACCTGTGCATCTTTGCAGAACGATTAGAGCAGGATCCAAATCCGCCTGTAAATTCAAGTTTCCCTTCATTTCCATCGCTATACGTCTCTGAATGACAGCAAATTCATTCCTGCGCTGGAGACTTGCCAGAAGTTTCTCATCTCGCTGTCTGTGGGCTGCTCGCTCCCGCTCTGGCTCTTTTTTTTTTTTTTTTTTTTTTTTTTTTCTCCTTTGAGGTTTTTCTGATGCCTATAGAGTGAGCTCAACTCAAAGGTTTGCAGCTTCACTCTCGTCTGCTATTCTGTAGGAGCCAGCCTGGGCGCCGGTACAGTCAGGAGTAGTGTGTGAACGTCGGATTTTCTGCCTTATTTCCCTGCAGGTGACTCAGAAACTTCACAATGCGGCTGGTAATGTATTTAATTTTCTAAATAAATACTTAAGCGTTCCTCTTGTGCAGCTTTGTCAGCTTTTAGATAGACCGGCTTCCTTAGAACTAATTAAATGAGGAGATGTCGGGGGGTGGCAGATGCCTACTGGGACATGGATGCTGTTTGTTTTACTCGCCAGCCAGAGATGTACAGGCAGATTTCCTCAAGGAATCTTAAATCAAGCAGCACTTTTTCCTTTAGATAAGGAGGCTTGAACAAATACAGATTAGCAAATGCAATTCCTAATGTGCACAGAGCTGCAGTAAGTTTATTAGGGAAGCGGAAATTTAAGGCTGTGTTATGTTGTGGGCTCGGAAAGGAGAGAATCATCTCCGTGTGCTAACAATTTAAAACAGTGTTTGAAAAAGATGCCTGAGGATTCGGAGGGCTCTGCTGAGCAGTGGTCATGCTGCTGTGGCAGAATTTCTCTAGGTTTAACTGCCCTTTTCTTTTTGCTCTGCAATTATTGGAAAAAAAAAAAAATGTGGCTACGGTTCATGGGGTAACCCTACAGGGCTTTTCAGCTTCGGTATTCAGCAGGCATTTCAGCTCCTCTAAATACAAGCCCTTGAATAGTAAGCAGATCAATGTAGGGCTCCTGTAGCCAAGAGTTCAGCTGTTTGTCAACATGTAAAATCTCACGGCTTTTGTCGGGTGCAGTACAGGCAGCTGGCTAGATTCGTATGAAGTCATCCAGGAAACGCTGCGGGGACCAATCCTGGCTCTGACAACGGTCCAAGGACCGAAGTAATTAATCGCAGATTGATTTGATTTTTTTTTTTTTTTCCATTCCTAACATAGTTGTTGAGATAGGCAGAGATGTAGTTTAGAGGGGCTAGTTGTACGTATTTAGCATCAAAGCTCTTTTAAGAGCAAATTCTGTCTGTCTTCCTTCAGCAGTACTTCCCTCCAGACTAGCTTATGCAGTGTGTTATCTTTACACCTGATGCTGAACGGTACATCATCTCAGTACAGGGCAGAAATAGCCCACGAGGCTATTTTTCTCATTTTCTTCTGCTTACAAACAGACCGCTTAAACGTTGTATGCATCATTACAAATCTATCCGTCGGAAGGCAATGTATTGAAATGACTGTATGTAAACACCACGGGGTAAAAAAATAAAACTAGGTGCTATTAACTCTGAAAAGACAAACATGCTTCTGAGACAACACATGGGAGTTAGGGCTAATTGTGAGTGGTAGCTGAGGCATTTCGTGGTGAGGTTTCAGAGGCAGCAGGTGAGGATACATCCTGCACCGGCAATTCCTCACCGCGTGGCATCCGCTGCTTCTCTTAATTCAGTGGGAAAGGAAGAGGAGGCTTAGCATGTTGGTATTGACGTATCTGACATGGCATAGAAGATATGGCTCTTGAGTTCGAGTGTGGGTGGATGTAAATAAGCAAATATTGAATTATCATTTCTACAAAGCTAAAATTAACCCGAGCTTTTATGTTTTCCAGGACAACTTGTCAGACAATGTAAACTAATTTGCTGAATTGCACAGGAAAAAAGAATGTATTAGGAATATCTAATTTACCTAGAGCTGAATATGTCTTGACTCCTTTTATTGCCTGTTTCAAGTTTTTCAGCATTCCAGTGGGCTAGATAAGCTCTGTAGGTAGTCTTAGAAATAAAAGAAATACATCAAGAATTTACCTTAGTAGTAAGACGCTGGGATTTACTTAATGTTCACAATGCAGCACTGTAAAGCTTCGTGCATTGTGTCAAATACTTTTCTCACCTGCTTGCCCTATGCCTTTCCAAGTATAGATCCTATAGGAGTCCTTCACTTGGTTTAAATCTCTGGCCTCTTAAAACTCTGATTTTATGTTACTTAAGAGTCCTGCAGGTTCTCACTTTTGCAGTTTGTGGACTCGTGTAATTTCAATAAAACCAAGGAGGCTGTTTATATGCCCACGGGCTGGATCATCTGTTTTGTGTTTAAAAGCTGGTATAGACCTGAAATACAGAAATGAGATCAAATGCAAGGAAAATGTATGTACTTACAGTAATTTCCCTGGATGCCAAAGAAAATACAGTAATAAATGGCATATCATTTGTTAGTATGCTCTCTGAAGGTTTCAGAATACCTGCAGCTATTATACAGACTTGTAGCTCTATGTACGGTGCGCAGTAAAACCAATATTTAACACTTTTTACACCCGAGAAACCTGCATTGTAGCATCCCGGAGCATTCGAAGGGCAGTGATGCAGGTGGGTAGGAGAAGTGTGGCCTCCAGACGCTGCCCCGGGTCACTGTGCTGTCTGCTGAGCAACGGGGGCTGCTACCTGAGTCCAGATACGCTCCTCCCCGACAGCTCGGAGGTGGAAATGCAGTGTGCACATCCACCCACAGCTACCCCAGAGGTAACTTGAAAATTTCTCAGGAAGCAAGGCTGTCGTCAAGAGTTTAACCGGAGTTTGTTCATCAGACAGATGAAGTCAGCTCTGCTCCCCCTGGATTTGGCAGGATTTAGGTGAGGAGACATTGTCATCTGGCAAGGTCAGGTCCTTCAAAGAGTATATAATGTGTTTTTGAGAAAAAACGGTGCGTGGGAAAATATCTACCAGGCAAGAGTAATGATCAGGTCTCTTCTTCAACACCGCTACAAGAACGAGAGAGTCAGCTGAACTTAGACAATTTTTCATTTAAAAGTATGTCAAAGAAGTGAAGGCAGACGTAGCCTAAAATTGTCCTTAGGAAAACTGTGATAAATGGGTGTTGGTGGAGCCAGGCTAACACGGTTTGTATGTAGATGCTGAAATGGGCCATTAAATGGGACTAGAGGATCCGGACTGAGCTGCTGGGAGACAAAGTGGAAAGAAGCTCCCAGCCCATCTGACTGGGTGCGTTTCCCAGGCAGTCTGCACGATGGATGTACAAACACCTCGAAGCAAGAGGCTTCCGAGTGGAGGCAGCTACCTTTGGAAATGGCACTTGGCCCCGAGCATCGACTGCAACGAGGCACCTCGGCTGTGGTCAGTGCTCCTGCCAGCCACGATGGCTCAGGGGAGCTGGTTCCTGGGAAGATGCTAAAAGTGAAATACATATCATTTGGCTAAATAGGAAAGCATCAGGAACGTAAACCACTCACCGGCCTGAAACTCTGTAGTTTTCAAGGAAGGAAATTGCAAGGAATTATTTGTTGTGGAAGGAAGAGATGTAATGAATAAGATGATAAAGGCATAGTTATCCTGAAAATCGGAAAATTTTCCTGTTGCAGGGTCCTTTTTACAGTATGCAAAATAACCTCTACAGGGAGCCAAATGAAATTTTACTACTTAAGCACTGAAAAAGAGCTGTGACAAGCTCTGTGCCCAAATGAATATGGCACATGTTGGATCAGGCAACTGGAGGTTTTTTTGTTTTTTTTTTTTCAAATCTCTATTACCATTCTGTGGCGAAAGAAATTTGTAGTAAAACTTGAAGTTATTTTCAGAATTCAATGAGGTGTTTAAATAGGACTATTAAATTATAAGTGTTTAAAACACCTATAAAATATAGATGTTCAACAGGGCTATTAAATGCAAAGCATAGCTGAGGTGCATTTCAACATCAGCAATGCTGTTCAACCTTTCTGGCAAGAAAATAGAACAATAAAACCAGGAGAACATGGTAAACTTCTCCAATAATTCTTGCCCAGGACTGACAATATTGTATCTGATGCTCTGTGCAAGCCAGCTGGGTGTGGAGATTGGTGCAATCAACCCACCATGCCCAATTTTAACTGACATATCTGAAAACAGCTAAGCTACTTAAATGCGAAGGCATTTGCAGGAAAGTGCTCCCAAGCCCTTTGCCTCTCTCAGGGGTGGCAGCACGGCTGCCAGTCACTTTATGGAATTACCCAAAAGTACTTGTAAAATCACTTTGTAGTGTTGGTACAATTCGCACCGGCACGAATCCCCCGCTCCCACCAGCAAGAGATTTTGCTGAACTTTCTCCGCCCAAAACCCCCCTTCCCACCCAGGCAAAGGGCACAGGAGCAAGAAGTTAAAAGTCTTGGTGGTCTCTGAGCACATTTCCCTCCTGGGAGCTTTAGTTTTTTGCAACGATTCTGAGGTTTTATGAAACGCTCTCATTTTAGTGCATCAAGCTAAAACCAAGACAGGCTTCAGCTGCAGGGTTTTCCGTTGTAATTACTCTTATTGCTGCACCTGAAATACCTGTAATTAGCCCCAGCCTGGTTGGCTGAGGGTGTAGGTAGCTAATTACCAAGGTGCCAGCATCTCCACCCTGGTGGGGTGGGAGCCAGCACTGCTCCCTTCCCTGCCTGTACCCCCCACTAGTGCCTCCTGGAGTGGGGAGAGAGCAGGTTTGCTCTTTGCTGCCTGATGTTAGAGCCATCCTCCACCTTCCATTTCACTGTTGTACTTGAGTGGTGGTGGGGAAGAACAGGTAAGAGGGTGTTATTTGTCTTCTCTGAAGGGCTGGGGATGTGCAGGCTGCGTCTGCTTGCAGGAGAGGGATCTCCTGTGGTTATTTATCTTTCGTATTTATACCCTAAGAGAAGGAAATCTAAAGCATGTCACTGGGGGGGGGGGGGGGGGGGGAAGGTGTAACTTGCCATATAGAAATATCCTGCAGGCTCTGGAGAGAGATGGCTGCTTTTCTCAGGCATTCCCTGCCTGCCCAGGTCCCAGGGGGTCTGGTGTGCTACTGCATTCATCCCGTGGCTCTCTGGAAAGCAGCTTTTCTCCCCAGGTTGTGGTGGGGTGGGAATGAGAAACTCTGTTGAGATGCTGTTTGGGCAGAACCTGCTTTTCTGAGCAAGTAGGTCACAACCACGTTGTCTGTGTAAAGCTTCTGTGATACCCTGTGCTGTTTCTTTTTTTTTTTTTTTTTTTTTTTTGTGGCTGTGCCCTAAAGCTGAATTACCTCCACAGACGCTATAGCTAGTGTGCATTTTCTTTGATTAGATGTCAGTGGGACGTGCCTGACCTGGCCTCGGTTGTGTTACTGCTTCTAAATTTAAC